CTGGCAGGGCTTAGGATGGGGCTGCAATGTAAAAATATAAAGGTGGGAAACAGATGTAATTCTGGCAGTGTAAAATGGTTGAGATTGGAGAATGGCTAAGTGGCAAAGTACATGTACTACATTTCACAAACATACAAACAAAAGTTGTTCTGTTAGTTCAAATAAATGAACATTTATTTCACTTGCAAATAGAAATTGACTGGTTACAGCAATGAATGGTGATTGTTTGACATACACACAGTGGCATTTTTGCAAGACAATATTTTCAAATGAAACAAATTTTGTGTCAGTGCTAAGAGGTCTTTATTGAAAAGCACTGTTGTCAACATCAATTTGGGAATGAAAATTGGTTGAAATTTATATGACAGCCGTAAAAAAGTTTTATGAGTAGAAGCTTAAAAAATGTATGTTTCAATAAAAAATTTACAAGAGTAATCTTGTATTTTCGAAAATTACATTTTTTCAGTAATGACCTATTAACACTGAGCCAACAATTTGTCACATGCCGTTTTGAAATACATATTATTTTAAGTCGAAGACTTTTTCTAATGTTCTGGCAATGTGCAATGTGGGAAATACATAATGTACATAGAATTCCCTGTGATCGGCGGCTTGCCGCTGTTGGTGATTTGTTTTTAAACAAATAAATAAATTTTGTCCATTTTTTCTTCAACCTCATTGAAGTGAGGTTTAGAACGGCCACCAGGTTGGCGGAACAGTGCAGGTATTTTGGCTACCTGAATGGGAAGTGGAGATGTGAATGACATAATTTACGGTTCAATTTGTAAAAGCGTGCAAGAGTTACCAACTTTCATGCGAGTCCTGTCTATCAAGCGACTACAGACTGTCCAAATCTGAATAAATTTTTCGTACAAAAAATCCTTGGAATTTTGGAGTGGAGCATCTTGAAAGCCTACGTACATGTACACATGAATGTTTTAAATGTTCGTAAATATGAAGGTAGATGCGTTACGATACTTTAACCCTAACAGTCCTCAGTCCTCCAACAGGTGAAGGATTGCGGAGGGTTAGGGTTAAAGATATAACTTAATTTGTGAATGGTAGGTTTTGTTTCAAGGCTAACTGATCGACTGTGTTTGAAGGTCTGTACAAAAGTACCTCCTAAGTACAACGTCACTATGCTGAACAATGTGGCATGTGGAACATGCCCCTTGGCTCCCAAATCTACCATGCATTTTTCTGAACGCTGAAATTTGCTTTGAAATTAAAGAAACAAATTTTAGAAAGAGAATGACTCACAAGCTAACATTTCCAACATTGAAAATTCAGAGCTACCATTTCTACCAAAATTCTAAAACAGAGCAAATACTGCCCTCTCTTTTCTGCAAATGGCATCCCCTTTTCGACGAATGGCGCCCTCTTGCAAGGAAGGTTTTTCTCCCTTTTTAACACACACTAGAACGGTTCAAGGTTTGGGCCTACTAAATATCACCCCCTGAAATCGCAACAGATGCGAGGTTTGCTACACCAAGCAGTGTTCAGACCCTTCCCTGTTCATCACAGCAGCACTGTAGTGCATACCACTATACACTACTCAAAAAAACTTCAAGGATCAGACATTTTCAGCCAGGTGTCTACTTTATTGATATATGCATGTGTTTCCGAGTACACTGAGCCCCGAGTAAGACCAAGAGAGGGCGCAGTTTTCTCAACAACGCAGGGCCCTTTAGTCAGAAATGAACTTCGCTGGTCACAGACAACTAGGAAATGTATCAGTTATCATTTTTGTAAATAATTAAACAATGTGATATTCATTTGTGTGTGGTACAGATGCATGCATGGATTTTCTTTAAAGAGGTCACAACAGTTCATTTTTTTCATGTTTGCCATGCATATCATATCTTGGAAGTGCTTCATTTCTCAGCTGTAACAATTTCAGAATAAAAAATAGCGCCCTCACCTAACAGGATATCACTCTAACTCATAAATAGCGCCCTCACATTACCAGGATATCATTCTAACTCATGAATAGCGCCCTCACATTACCAGGATATCATTCTAACTCATGAATAGCGCCCTCACATTACCAGGATATCATTCCAACTCATGAATAGCGCCCTCACATTACCAGGATATCATTCTAACTCATGAATAGCGCCCTCACATTACCAGGATATCATTCCAACTCATAAATAGCGCCCTCACATTACCAGGATATCATTCCAACTCATGAATAGCGCCCTCACATTATCAGGATATCATTCTAACAACTCATATTCTCCCCAAACTCCACTTTCATCATTTTTTTACGCCTGTGTAGGAGACCTGGACAAAGTGCTGACCGAAGTGTTTTTCATGAATCATAGGACTTCAGTGCTCAGCAGAGAAAGTTTGCATTAGACTGGAACCAATATAGTTTTTGTTTTGTCGCCAGAACATAACCACATTAAATGACACTCACACGTTACAAAGTGAGTCTTTTTTTTTTTAATTCTGATCCTTTGATCCTTTTGAGTAGTGTACAAATGCAGAGAGACTCACTCCATCGCCAAGGTGGAAGCAAGGAACTGCATCTCTGAGAAGATTGATTCCATTCCTTGCCTTTCCGTGAATCAGTGCCTGAGATTCTGACGAGAATCCCTCATGCAATCTTGGACACTGTTCCTCCTCGGTGATGGAGGCGAGGACTGGCATCTTTAAGTTACTTCCTCTTCTTGATGTGCTTGTGGATCATCTCTGGGAAGTCCTACAGGATCTTGTCTTCCATCTTGCTTCTCTCCTTGTTGAAGGAGGCGAGGGCGCTCTTCTCATCGGCCCTGCAGATCTGGTTCTTACGCACAGCTTCCATGTCAACAATGCCTGGGATGAAATTAAACACAGGAGGACGAGTTACGGCGAAATACTGAGACAATTCTGACAAACATTCGAGGATCTTTGTACCGTCCTTATTTTTACATCTTATTTCACACAAAACAGTTGTGGTTTGACGCTAAGGCTGAGTTCGGGCGGCTTGCACTCATATGCTCACAAACAGCTTGATTTGTTGTTTGTGGGTCGGCCGCTCAAACGCCGGGAACATACAACCGCTTATTGCTAGTACACTGTACATGTAGTTAGGGGCAAGCAACATGGAGGCATCCATGTACGTTCTCCAATGTTTAATGTTTGGATAACTGTCCTGAATTCTGTTCTGTTTTAAAAAGAAACATTCATTTCTGTGTCGTGGAAAATGAGAAATGTTAATCTTGCAAAACTTCCCGTTGTCTGTGGCTTTGTAAGCCATCTCGCCGTTTTGTGCAGCTGTTCAAAAACTAGAATCTCACGAGTTTTTAAGTCTGTTCTTGTAAAACCTGGCAAGGAGCCTGCAAGGTTGAGGATATATTTAAATTTATTTAAAAAATTGGAATTGGATTTTTGTGATTCAAATCAGATTTTTTGATTTAAAATCATTTGATTTAAATCTGTGATTGGGTTTCAGAGTTTTGATAGAAAAACTCAAAGAAGAAGCACCTTCCCCGTTGGCATAATGAATTGCAAACAGATTGAGATTGGTCAAATCTGTGATTTAAATCAAGGTGATTTAAATCAGCCAACCCTGCGAGGAGGCTGGGTATGATCCTGTTCCCAGAAAAGTATTCTCGGGTTGTGTTATTGCTGTTCGAGAACAAGAACAAGCCGCCCATTACAAGTAGGCCGCCCGAACTCGACCTCAGTTCCTCGATTAAAGCTAACATTTTTGTCAACCATTTCTAGTCAGAAAATGAACTATGAAGCAAAGACTTTGTTACTCATGACAGGACTTCTGACGGACTAAACTAAGACTGCACATCGTGAACTTGAAAACTTTAACATTCCTTTTGGGTGAAAGGAAATTACAAAGTGACATCATGCCTTTCTGGACAACTGAGGGCGCTGTTTTAGCCTGTAATCTCAATCTTTTGGCAATTAATTATGCCAACGGGGAAGGCGCTTCCTTTATGAGGTTTTTTATCAAAACTCTGAAACCCAAATTTTCTCCTTGAATATTGTCTCAGGAAATGTTGACCATTGATCTTTGGTAATTTGCAATGAAACAGCAAGGAAAAGGAAACTTAGGCTACGAAATGAGAACAATTCCAGTATGGTTGGTGCATTCAACCAGCTAGCCCTCATTCCAAGGTTTAATCTTTATCTTGTCTCTTCGCTGACGGCCTTGCACAGATTTTAGTGAAGGAAATACATCACAAGGGGTCACAGCTAACGACATGCAGAGCATTTTGGGTAGATTTCTGCCACGTGCACGAGCTCCATCAATGCGTTGAAATACAAGCGACAGTTACAGTTTTTCTCTTTTTCATCCTTATTACTGAAAATATTTTCACCACACTTTATTCGTTCGTCTATAATTGGTCAAAATATCCATTAATTTAAAAAATATTGCCAAACGACACATGGTCAGTGATACTGTAATAACCACACTTGTGATTGTACCAAGTCCTTTGTATCATATGGCCGACCATTTTGCCTGAACCCACAAATTTAATTAACGCTTCAATAACAGGAAGTGATAACCTCATGGTCAGAGGTTATGCACAGTGTAGCCAATCACAGTGCAAAGCCATCTCATCCCCACCATCTTGCTTGACACAGCATACCCTGCCATCCCAAGGTCAGGTTTGCCTCGTATATGAAAAGCTAATCAAAAGATTTCACTGTTTCTTGCTAACCAAAAGCCAAGGGGGATCCAGGACCCAAATTTTGGTGTGGGAAGTGGATTTGTTTTGCTTTTGAGATTTTTTTGAGGGGTTTGGCAACATGTTGGGCTATTCATACACAGTTCAAAATGGAATTTTATTACTTTTTGGCTGCCTTTTTTTGGGGGGGGGGGCATGGCCCCCGTTCCCAGATACACCCTGCCGAAACATGACTCTCACCTGTGCTACTTATGACATAACTTATGTCCGCAGCTATAGAGAATTCATCACTAGTCCTCCAACTCGCGCCGTGACGCAGGATACATTAGCAGGTCTGGACATAAACAGCCATTGCACCACCTCCGACTGGAGACAAGGTCTTCCCAACTCTAAGAAGGAAAAAAAATGACAACAAATAACAAGTTACCGTTAAGGTTTTCCGATCACAGAGCGGAAGGTTCGGTATATTTTGCCAAAATGAGCTAATCGTCCAGATTTCAGCCCATTCGTGATTAGCATCTGTACTCTTAGTCATTTGGTCGCTGTTAGATCCATAAAAACCATACAGTGCTTGGCAGTGCAGGGAGTAACAGGTCGGACAGAGTCTGATTGGCACAAGAGGGGTTCCCACAGAAATCAGAAAACCAAACTCAATAATTTTGCTCAAATTCAGTAACCTTTTCAAGACCTTCCAGGACTAGAATACGACAATTTCCATGACATTTCTTGCCATTTGGCAGAGAGAAGTTGTTTGGTAGAATGAATACCTACCATCGCCACTCCTACGGACTGACAAGGATAGCCTGTACATTTATCATTATTCCGTAAAACCATCAAAATTAACCCAAAGTTGCATGTTCCTGATTTCCATGACTAATTTTAGGACTTTGCGGGCCAAATTTTTCCAGGATTGCCCATGTAAAAGAATGAATGTACAAGAACAAATGGGTTCAGCAAATCGATGTGGGCACCAAAATCAGGTTTAGTATAAATCTGCTGGGAAAGAGACGGCTAACTGTTTCAGAGCAGTGATGCCAGAAGATGAGCCCACAGGCAGGGGACCAACCACGCTGCAATCACCTTACTCTATCAGGCCAGTGATGTCAGAAGATGAGCCCACAAGCAGGGGACCAACCACACTGCTAATGCCTTTAACTCCATTAGGTGATGCCAGATCTGGTACCTGGTAAAGATAAAAAGAGGTCATTACTGTCTGTCTGCATTGGCAAACACTTGTTCTGGGGAACTACCCCTTGAAAATGCCAATGTCCCAAAGGTATGGCTGCAGCTCGAAGTGAGGGTAATAACTATAGAGCCACAAGCAAGCGGCTGCAGTCATTTCCCTCAGACTTACGAACCACTGTCAGCCTATTTGATTCGGTTTATCTTAAGCCGGTTGGCAAATGTACCAAAAAAAGATTGAACCCAGTCAATTTTGTTTGTTCTATACAAAGAGAGAAATTGGCGAGTATGTGAGTGGAGATCTCTTGAAGAACCTCTCACAGATCAACTCCATCTTAAAGGAGCCAGGGTGGGGACCCATATATTCTGATATCATGAAAGTAATTCTTTGTGGTCATTCTGACACTATTTTTGTGAAAAATCCACCTTAAATTGTACAAGCCCAGCACCTTTTTTTCTGAAACAGTTCACCCCAAAACATATACTCTTCCACCACTATGTTCAATGTTTATGGGTTAGCACACTTGTGGCCTTCAACTTACAATGACTAACAAAAAGCCTTATGGCAGATTGAGTTAAAACTTCATGTTGGACTAATAATATATAGAATGTCTTTAGAGTGTTCTCTGTAGCCTAAAATGATAGCAGGGCAGCACATATTGCGAGCGCGGAGTGTGAGGCCATTATGGCGTGGGGTCTGGGACCCGCTCAAGGGCCCCGAGAAATTTTGGATTCTAGATGCTCTGTGGTGCAATTGGAGGTATTTCCTGAGCCCTTTCTTTAGATTCCTTGAATCAAATTTGCTCATGTTGAAATGAAGGCAAGACTGTTATCAGGAGGTCATCAATCACATGTAAGTTGATTTATTTGTCGGGGGTATTTTTTTTTTACTGATCAGAACTTGCCAACGAGTGGATGGTTCGGATTACATGTACGTACATGGGCACAACGTGAAAGGATAACGTATAGTCGCTTCCCTAATTCTGGATCTCAAATATAACTCCATGGTCAGATTCCAGCGACAAAATCCTATAATTCTGGTGAAATACACGGACGGTCAGTTGTCCAGTTCGCATATTGGAGAAACTACAAAATTGCTTTCGAAATCTAAGCTTTTAATCTGGACTTAAGGAATCATCAGAATTGGCAACACTTCAAGTTCCACGTTGGATTAACCGCTTCCAAATAGTGACAATTTTTTTCTCGTATAAAAAGTCAGACAGAGCCATTGTTGCAAGCTGTTTTTTCTAATTAAGAAATTCGTAATTTTGAGAAAATTAGTTCATAAATAACAATTTCAGTGAATCAACGAGCGAAATTTGAGTAACTTTTGACTAGAGTTTTTCAGCTGTACAGCGAGCAGTCGGCAACTATCCCCCATGCTGCACATTTGACAATCCCACAAAATCTGGCCAGGCCAGTCAACTAAGTGATTTTGCACGCAACAATGTACATGAGAATCAAGATAGTCCCGATCGATGTTATGCATAGTATACCATGTACAGTTCAGATGGCGCGCGGTGCGTGGCACTAAACTGCAAACACTACATTGCGGTGTTAGTTAAAACACTGTCGCGACCATACAATTGTCCCATACATGCATGAAAAACGTGGAGATCTCGATATACCGATAACGTGTACACGCTGATGAGCACTTAGTTTTAGACCAACATTACTTCATGGCGCAGTGAAATCCTTGGCTTGGGCATGCGCAACAATGTGGGTCAGGCAAGGCCAGGCTGCCGGTGCGTGGCGGGCTGAGTGTGCGATATCCCCACATACAAGTACACACAGGTGTGTTGCTAAACATCAAGTATCCAGTTTTGAGTATTGAGTTTCAAGAATCAAGTTTCGACTATCGAGTTTTGACTTTCGACTGTCGAGTTTCGCACACAAATAAAATAGGACAATTTTTTCTTGGTGGTAAAATTGAAATCTTTCTTAACTAATTATCAAAATAACGAATACTATTACTAGTTGTTTTGATAATATAATGGGTGACAGGCTAGGCGCTCTATTGTACCATCGACAAGTGTTCATATCCAGCACCAATGGTTCAACTCGAATTTTGGCATTTTCCAACTAAAATGGAAAAACTTTGAGTTACGTTTTTCCATAAAACTTATCACTTTAAACAAATAGTATTATCAATTGTTGTGATTGCCTCGTAAAATGGGTGACAGGCACTCTAAGTTACCACTGACAATATCAGGCAAGAAAGGTTCAACTCGAAATTTTGGCATTTTTTTGGCTAAAAAGGAAAAACTTCCAGTTACATTTTCTATAAAAATTATCACTTTAAACCAAAAGTATTATTAAATGTTTAGATTGTTTTTTAAAATGGGTTAAAGGCGCTCTCAGTTGCAATGGACAAAAGTATTCATATCCGACAAGAAAGGTTCAACTTGATATTTTAGCCTTTTCCAGTTTGGACTTGGCATTATTTAACCTAGCTCTTTGCANACAACACAACACAGCTGTGCTTCTTTGAGGTGTTTACCAAATGACCCAAAGAGTGACTTCAGCATAGGAGGGTTAATGTAGGATGGAGTCCCTCAACGTGCTGCTGTTCTTCAAATTCCCTGAAAACCTTTTCTTGGACTAGTAACCCAGGTTCCCCATGGTCATCCACCTTGAGAGACTTTCATCACGCCGTCCCGGTCGCATTGTATACGAAATTTACACAAATCATCCACCGAAGTTCTGGCTGGGCAGCCTCCAATGGAAAGGGATGGTAAATGGACCTCCACCACGATCCTATTAGGCGACCCCCTAGCATCCGGACTTAGCCACTGGCACTAATGCCCCAGCCCGCGGGCGTTGGACCAACAACCCAACCTTCATACACCAACTTTGCTACGAGTGCCTGATGTCGAAAGACCTGGCTCATCCCGGCAAGGCACAAATCTTCTGTCTCTAGACGACTCAAAGTTGGCAGTAATGACGGGCCTCCCCCAAACCCGCCAGGAAGGGGTTCCCCTGATGTCCCCTCTGTGGTTTTGTCACCTATTCGCCTCACACGCCATCAAATCCATTTTGCCACCTGGAACAATCTCACGCTTAATTCACCTGGTCATTCACTGCTTCTCTCCGCTGAACTCTCCCGTCCGGACATCTCCATTGCTGGTCTACAGGAGGTCAGATGGACGGGATGGGGCGAGGCAGTCATTTGACAACTACCGTCTTCCCTGGAGTGGTCATGAATATCTCCATACTTAGGCAGTAGCCCTGGCCATCCATCGTCGCCATGTAGCATCTATCATCACTTGGAAACCTCTCAGTCCCTGCCTACTCTGTGCACACTTAAAGCACTGCCATGGATACATCTGTGTCTTCTCATGTTACGCTCCAACTGATGCCTTTGATGATGAAACCAAGGACAACTTCCATCAGCTACTAAATAGCGAGCTCCGGCATTACCATCGTTCTTGGGGACGTGAATGCTATGATTGGCCCAGATTATCTTGGCCATGAACATGTCATTGGACCACACCCCTTTCCCTCCGCCACTACCAACAACAACGGTGACCGCGTGCTTGAGGTCTGTGCTACACATAACCTTAAGATCCTCGGCACCTGGTTTCGGCATCAGCAGATCCATAGAATCACCTGGTACAGCAAGACTGGTATCACCAGCAAGACAGTTGATCACATCCTGGTCAGCGGTTGCTGGAGGGTCACCTCCGATTGCCGGATCTTCGCAGTGCTGAGCTTGGCATCACAGATCACCCTCTCCTTATTGTCAGCTTTTTTCTTCATCTCCGTAACGATACCTGCCAAGGCCCTGCCTCACGTCGTCCTCCTGACATCGACAAGCTCCATAATCCTCTGTTTGCCCAGCGCCACTCTGCAGTGGTCTCCTCACGCCTAATGCTTTAAGGATGCCTCAGACTCTCGAGGAAACCTGGAACCAGACCTGCTCAACCCTTACCCCAGTAGCCTCTGAGGAGCTTGGTGCTCGCCACTTCAGGAAAAGGCCATGGATCTCAGACACCTCCCTGGATATGGTGGACCGCTGCAGATGAGTCAGACTGCTTGGATCTTCGGAAATCTACTGCAAGCTGTCCAGGTCAAAGAAGACGTAACCTGCGTTGCGACTACGTCGGACAGCTTAACGATGACAGGGGACATTTTCCATTCAACATTTCTAACCTCTTTGCTCGCACTTAAATAGCGCAGTGCATGTTTGACAGAAGGATGTTACCGGGTTTCAAATCCCTGTGTGCAACACCGTTTTTCATGTATGTCAGTCCATCAACTTTTCCAAGGGTAATGTGGCAATTTTGGTGCTCCCAAGTTACAAAAGCCCAATCGCGATCTATCTGAATGATTAGCTGATCAAGGGAATACTTATGAAAATCGTAGTCTGTGCTCAAAAACATGGAAATCAAAAGTTGCGTACTCTAACATCATAGCATTATTGCCACTACTGGGGTTTTCTGTACGAATATAAACCAACTTCTGCGTAAGTACCTGCTCCTATCTTGCTCTGATATTGGACACGGTCCCATCTGAAGACAGACGAGTCAGCTGGAACACGATGTGGTCTCCAAACAGCACCAAACATTTTCCGCAAACAGCACCTGCTGTGAGAACCCATGAAGGGGAAACTGGAATTAATGACACGTTATCGCATTCGACTGGCATCTGTAGTCATACTCACCCAACCAAAATGTTAACCCTTACATCTCCACAAAACCTGGTGTTGGAGTTCGGCTGGATGGGAATAAGTATGGGTCACTGAAAGGTAGCCGAATTCTTGGGAAAAGCAGGACATTCGATTTCATATTCCATTATAGATCTTTATTACTACTCTCATGTAACCACTGCAAATCGTATGGCCTTGTGAGTGTAAGAATTCAGTGACTCGGTAACAAAAGACAAACCCAAAGTACAGTAAGGTAATATGAAGTTCCTTATTGAAACTGAGGTCTTTCTGTCATTATAAAAAAGCCAGGAAAATGTTGAAATTTCACGGTATATATCCCCGGATTTACATGTACTATACAAGCATGAACCACACGAATACGTACACCGGCTCCGTCGAAAATTTCCATGCACCTGTACATGTACATTGTACTGTACATGTACGCTGCAGTACGTGAGTAACAAGCCGCAGTGTACTGTGCACGGTACGTGGCTGGATCGGTTTTGTGCATGTAAAACACTTACAAATCGCACTGCGCAGAAATATCAAATATAACTATGACAGTCGAACAAAAAAAATCTAGCTACATAGAACCGATTCTTTTGTGTAGTTGAGATTCTGGCATGTCAAATGCAGCGTCTCACTGTTTTGGGAAAATTTCTAAAATTGAGAAATTTAGTGGAAAAAAGACAAAGTGATCGATTGAAAATGGAAATAAGATATCATCTTAGCAACCACTTAGCATGAAGCATTTCTCTTCATGATTCTTAGTGTTTTATTCAGTTTACGCCTTCTAGAGCACGTACAAAGAATTTCAATGTGATCATTTGTTAAGTTTGTGCAAACGAAGTCTTCAAAACGAGAAGGCTCAACAGAGGATTGGCAGTTGCTAAGGACATTTCTGTATGGTTCACTAGGGTCTGGCTAAGTGACCGCCGCGCACGGTCAAAGTCGTTAATTTTCACACGTTGAATGATGGTGAAACATACGTGATGCGCGAAGGTTGTGGATCAGACCTTATAAAAAATGTTGTTTGTGCTTAATAGTCAAGCACAAATTCAGCCCAATTTTTTTTTAATCAACTGCATAGCTCAAGAATGCCATTTACACTGCTTCAACATAAAGGCAGGAATTGCCGGAGGATTTTGTAGGATTCAGGTGGTTAGGCACACCGGTACCTCCAAATGACATTTTCAAGAAATTTTGGAGGATTTTGGCTGAATGCAATTTTTTTCCAAGTTAAAAATCGGTGGATTTCGGAGGATTCAGGATGGTTCCTAGTAAAAAGGCCAAGGGAGTTAGAGTTTAAAGAAAGTAGTACCTACATGTACATGTACCTTGCTCATCTACATGTATGGTTAACCTCCAGTAGTTCCACAATAGTTGTATTGTAATCCAATCAATCTATGTTTAAAAAAAAAATAACGATGCAATGGGCGTTATTTCGTAGCAGTGTTTAGACAAAACAACTTTAACCCACCGAGGAACAGCAAAATGTTTGGCCAAGAATGGTCGAATTGGCAACCCCAAATTATCAGCTTCATATTTCGGATTTGTGGAATTTTGCCTCAATAGTAATGAAACCTGCATTGGGTAGCTTGGACACATTAAACAATTTTCTCTGTTGACAGTGTAATTCGCAATGCTATAATACTGAATGAAAACTTCAATGAAGAGCACCTCTAAGGCAAATAGGTTTTCTCTGATTTGATCTGTTCAAGTAAATATGGAAGCATCCAAATCGAATGCAGTGTCATTTGTCAGAGCTCAAACGATAACAAGCTTAAAAGGTTTTTTTTCTGTTCATGCCAAGATGCAAATTCTCAATGAATATTGCGCCATTCTGAGAAAACAAGGGGAACCCTCGCCCGTGTTCATAGTGGATAAACCCTTGTGCTTGTCAAACAATGCATGTAGCCATTGTTTGGCATGCATAAGGGTTTATCCACTACTAACACAGGGTGAAGGTTCCCCTCTCTTTCTCTTTTGGATTTTTAAAGATGGATTTTTTTGGGTCTATCATATGAAACAAGAAAAATAAAGCTACATTTAATCAATAAAAAGGACCATTCCACAAAAAATGTAGCCTGTTCATTATGAAAGGGTTAAACAAATGGACATATTGGTTTATGAAAATATGGATAGCATAATTACAGGTCAAGGGTCACTGGCTTATTCTCAGTTGAGTCTGTGGAGGGAGAGGAGCAGCTGTTCTGATTGGGGCGGAGTTGGGTGCGGGTTGATTCTTGATTAATAAAGGATGATCTCGGTGCCTGAGTTGACTAAGTTGAGAGCAATGTCCAGTACTTTCCGCCACTTTCAAGTGAAGAGAGAAGCAGGTCTTTGGAAAACTACCGTAGGAGAGAAGCCTGAAAAATAATTAACATGATCAATGTCTGCTTTTGACTGAACAGCTGGCAACCCTCAAAAAACAAAAGCCCTGTTCTCTTTTTTTCTGATAAATGTATGACAGAGGACAACACCAACGACTTTCTTAGATAGATAGCTTCGAAAAGGCAGAATATTTTGCTCATTATAGGAACAGAGTGCTGAAGGTAACGAACACCATCTTACTTGGGTCACGCTATTTACCGGTGGCTTCAGCAAGCATCATCGAGCTTCAACATACATGTAGCTTAACCAAGTTATTCAAGCACATTTAGGCTTAGGCCTAGGCATTTCTTTTTAATTTTCAATATTAATCAGTCTCCTACATGTCTTATTCAATGTATCATCATCAAGGAAACAGTTTCTTTGCTCTATGATATCACATCTATCTGAAATGATGCTCGGGTGTTGAAATTTGAGTGAAAAAGTCGGTCCTGCTCCTGCAGCCTGACTGGCCACCATCTTGTTTTGGGGCCACGACAGAGACAAGAAAGACTATCGCACTATACATCAACAAGCGTCGACACACAAGAGGCATTAACAGAGCATCCACACCTTAAAACTACTCGCTAAAGGTTAAGGCCTACAGTAAAGTAGCCCCACTAGTGTGGCATGGGCACTCACAACCGCTCCATCCTTAGCCACACATCCGTATGTATATGCAGTTTTTTGTCGGCGTGGACAAATCTTTTTTTTTTGCATGTACACAAATGTTCCTTCGTCTCTCTGCTTTCCCATGACACATTATTTGAATGATTTCACTCATGCTGCTCTGATCCAGTCTTTTTGCCTTTACCCATTCAATCTCAGGGTCTCACTCTCACACGCCGTCTTTAAATGTGTCTGTTGCACTTTACGTCATTTGACCCCGGCCTGAAGATGGCTGTTCCATTGGCTTCAATTCTTAAAAAAAAAAATATCGTCTCAACGGCTGTTACAAGACATATGTAATACACGGACTGAGCGATAAGATACTACATGTACATGTATCAATGGGCTCTTCCAAAACTTTGGCAGCAGTTTACATGTAGATGTCTTGACATGGAAGAGCTGTCGAGACAAATGAGGGGTCAAGTGACATAATGTTTAATGACCTTATTTTAAAGATGGCGACTGTAAGAGTGAGCCCGTTCGATTGAATGGATAAAGGCAAAAAGACTGGAAAATACCTCAATAACGTGAGTGAAATCATGCTGACACGAAATTGCGCATACAGATATGTGGCTAAGGATGGATCGGGAGTGTGAGTCCGTGCCACACTAGTGGGGCTATGTACATGTACATGATGATGTAAGGCGCCATGCATGGCACATGTTGGCCGTCCACCCTTTGCTTTATTTTATAATTTTTTTATAACAACTTCAGTCTCAATATCAGTAATCAAATCTTGGGCAAAGAATATCTTGCTTTGTTGACTGGCATGGTCTGGAATTGTTTAGTTATGTTACTTACCACTATTCACAACTTGATTTCAGTCACTTTGCACAATGCTCGTGAGCGCAGCCACACTGTACATGGTATAGTATCCCAGCAAGCGCGCCGCTCTGCAGCGCATGCAGCATGCACGCGGTAGCTGCGTCGTTAGTGCGCCCTCTCTAGCCTGAAATTGTCAAAATTTCAGACAGTTATCTGTCTTGCGTACAAGACATATAACTCAAGGAAGGCTTTCGGTCCGCAGTTGAGCGTAGGCCTGATTGATGAGAATTTTAAAATCATGTTCCTTCTTCAATTCACGACTGATATATTTTAAATACTAGGTTTCGGCAAAAAGGAGCTTATTAACTTCTATTGTAGCCGATGCCCCACTAATTAGAGGACCTCAGCGACTACTAAGGAATATCCAGCAAGTAGATTTAACTTATGTTTCGTCTGTTCAAATGATTCCTTTGATACTCATTTTAGGGAGAATATTGCCAAAATACAATACGGGCGATTCACAATAGTGCACCTCCAAGAGTTCGCAACGTGTTGACCAATCACAGTGCGCGAATTCTGTCGACCCATTCTAAACGCGCATCATGTATGTTTAGTCCCCACTGCATAGACTGTGCGTGCATTTAGTTTGTGTATTCGCGTACGCATGCGCAATAATAACATAATGGTCGTCGGCCTGAAAACTGATACATTAGCAGACGACGCATACCAGTGAGGAATTTGTCGTGCCATTTCCCTTGAAGACCTTGTAAATTGCCAAGAATCTATCAAATGGCTAAGACATTATAATCCAACGAACAAATTGGCAGAGCTTCAAAATAAAATGTTGTTTACTTCCATATTAATCGCAAACAAACATTTGACAAAAAGTTTGGTCTCTAAGTTTCTTCTGTTTCCCGAGGTGACGGAAAGTCACCTCCTTGGCAGAGTAAAGTATAGTCTGGTTCCCTAACAAAGATTCCCTGACGACTCTTAATACAAAATCTTTGGTTAGGCATCACCCAAGGATATCAATAGATATGACGCAAGGCTCAGGGGTAACAAGTTGAAAGCCGGGCTGTTTTTGATGACAGTGGAGCATTCAGTACGTGTGTGGCATTTACCAGTAGTCGTGGGGTCTTGATTCTTCCTAGATTCTCATCTAGAGAGATTACCAAGGAGACTTTCAGTTATATTCTGCATTTTGCCTGGCATTGATTTCGGCCAAGGCGACCTTCGATTTCAATGTAAAGTCAAAAAATGTAGGGTCAACGGCTGCCATGCCATTAGGACACGGGAGATTACGTTCAACAGTTGGCCTACTTACCCGGCCGGGAATAACCGAATATCAACTGTACATCCGAACATGCCGAACATACTGCGGGACGACTTCGGAATATTTCGGCTATTTCCGGAAAACTAAAAGTTGTCCCCTGATGACGCACTTCTGGATTTTGTAATTTGTTTTCACTCAGTTCCTTCTTATTAAAACCCCACTTAGAAAAAAGGCTTTGGAAAACATTTGGTAGGATATTAATTCATAGAAACTGAAAAATTACCTGACTTAAAAGAGAAAATAATATCCTGCCCGAAACTAAGCCATCACTTCAGAAAATCTAAAATATATGAAGAACAGTCCAATGTGGCGGTTTCGCACGCAGATGAACATTACGTACGTAGTCTGTCAATAAAGGCCGAAATATAAACAGATCAAAATATTTCACACACTTTTTTATTGATAAGGTAATAAACTTATAAAGCAATGATCTACTTTTACGAAAGATTCTAATATTTTATTTAACCTTTGCTGACAACTGCGTTATGTCAAATCAAAGGAACATGGAAACCATCGACTACAGGACGGTAGGTAAATTTCACCCCATGAAACACATGAGTGTTTCATGGGGTGGTTTATTATCGAACTTGGTAGGACGGCCGAATGTAAAATCCCAAATGGGCGGACAGCGCGTGGGTTCCGGAAGCTAGCTGCGTGACCTTTCACTTTCAGGCTCTAGAAAGGTCACGTCGACATTGGGTGATACTGGACCCTTGATGCGTAGAATGGTCAGAATCATCGAGTCTGGTAACCAGACTAAGCAAAGTTGACAATACAGTATCTACTAGTATGGCGTGAGCGTACGTTTTCACGTAAGTGAAAGGTGTGAATAATGGAATTGGGAAAAAACGAAGACCTGTGGATTTTGCTGTTTTAACGAAGTGAACAGAAGTTTTATGAATCACTTTTTAATTAAAACATTATTTCCGCAACTGAGTGTGGATTAGCATTTTGAAACTCTTACAATCATGACTTTGTTCAGTATTACTGAATCTGTAACAACACAAATACATTTCAAACAGTTCCGTAATCAAACCAGAAACAACTTTTATTAAAACTGACTTTATCCCTGACTCGTTCCCGAATTATCTCATTGCAATAACTTTCAGTTAAAATGTCTTCACGAAGAAAAGTTTTCCTCTCAACTACAAATCTCCAACCCGTCACCTTCAAATTACAAAAGCGAAACTTTAAAGTTTCAATTAATCTACATCTAGCACTTTAATTCACGTTTTGGCGCGATATTGATACCGATTCATGCGCGACTCATTTCTGCTTGAGAGAATAGTCTTCGAATACCCCTAGTGTTCACCGCAGTGCAATGGTCGGATAGAATGGGGGTCATGGGTGTGCACACTAGTATGGTCAACATAGGCCTAATATGACTATATCTGTTTCAAAAAAGCCGTCTGTTTTGTATAAATAGGGAATTTACAAGGAAATTATGTTCCACATCTGCAAGCAATCTGATTGCACATTTCTCTTTCTTAATGTATACGTGAGCTTTATCTCCTACTCTTAGCAAACGATGATCCACATTCAACCCCACAATGCATTGCGGTAAACACGGTCACATGTCTTCAGCGCATGGGGTACCTTTGGGGGGCAAGAGGGCGCACCGTGTGCGAATCCTGGGTAACACCAATCTCTCGCTTCTTGGCCGTAGAGGGGATGCGTCTAGCTAGAGCAAATAACACAGGCCAGGAATCTATAGGCATAATAAAGGATGTGTCGCTAGTAAGGAGACTTTGTGAAAGACTGATAAAGGATGTCAACGTAGGCAATGTCCATTTATATGGTAGATATTAAAGCACTTCGGTATTTGGCTTTTTGCAATTCTGTTTGATTTTTGTAACTCGTAAGCCAGGTAGTAGTCTGCTGTGACAAACATCTTTATATTAATATGTTGAATACTTAAAAATAACATTGACAAATACAACTGAAATCAACAGGTCGGTTCCCTTTCCCCAAAATAAGAGCTTTGGAAAATCCTCATATCTCGTGAGGAAGAGCCGAATACGGTATAAATTTTTACCTGAAGTGGGCGATACTGTCTCTTTAGCGATACAATTAAGTTACCGCAGATTTTTTTAAAATAAATTTACAAATAATGATTTCTTTTATGAGTGCAATATTAAGAATTATTTCGTAGGCGACAGATGAAATATTTCCGTTTAGCATTGGAATTTAACTTTCTATGAGTCATATCGGATGAAATTATTCTTACCACTGTAAAAAGGGAAAACATTCGTTGGCGGTGCTATACAATACCTGAATAAAACTATGTTTAGGAGAATAAATATTCCCCCTTCGCATAAATGTATTAACTTCCATCATTTCATGAAACAGATTTATGTCCAAAGCACTACCCAATGGTAGTAGGGCCTACCCGTTAGACTGGTTTCCGTCCATAGACTATTTCCATCAAACTGGAAACGAGATAAATGAAATGAGCGCGGGATCCAGTCAAGTGAAATGAAGTTCCGTTGAAATGGGTACCACTGAATAGAATGCGTAATTCAATGACAAGGGATTAACGATCCAACAATCAGATGACGGGGAGTTTTAAGCCGGTACCGTATGAGTAACAACGGACTTAGTTTTGCCCAAGAGATGCGTTACAAATTATGTGCAAATGCCAGTATATTAGATTCGTTTCCATTATCTGCAGCTGGATAACTTCAAAAAAAGGGACTAATGTTACCAAGGGACGATTCCATTCTGTTGAATATTAAATTACTTAACTTAAATAAAAATGACAATTTCCTCCGTGTTTTACTCTTGCAGAATTTTAAGCAGTAGCTCTCTGAGTTCTTCGTCTTTGATCGTCGCCTCCCGCTCATGCTCGGCCGGTTTCGGAACCGCCCCCGCGCGGTTCCTCTCGTGCTCCAGCAGGTCTAGCGCCCTCTTTAGACTCTTGTCGTCCATCTCAGCAAGATCGAGGTCCTTCCTAACCAGTCAAAGAGTGAAAAACAGTGTCACCCTAAAACCGCCCCATTTGGACACAAAGACGGACTGCCCGATTTAGATGCTTCTTATGTTCATTTGCATTCTGCCCTTCTGCTTTTTCCCCTGTTTCGTCAAAGTTCATTCCGACGGAGTCTTGGCCTTGGCACTGCACCGACAACTTCCTCGTAGCCTCGTCATGAAGTGTGGATCGCCTGTGCAAGGGCATCCCATATTCTCTGCTTTATTGTCATGACATTAACCCCAGAAGAGGCGAGCTTTTTGGACCATCTCAAAGTGGGGGGGATCCCATACCCGATCTTTTTTATTGGCAATTAGGAGTATTTTAGTAACTCTTTGCAGACATTTGACACCGTATTGGTGACAATCGGACGTACCGTTCTCGCGTACCGCCCATATTTCCATTTCCCCCGAATACATGTATACATGCGATTTTCTTTTTCATTCTCTATGCAAGTTACTCTTGTCATTTTTTTTCTCCGCCGGACACATCACTTGCCAAGACATACACTGTTGAAATAATTGTAAGGGACGGATGCGCATGCGTAGTACGCAAACTAACCTTTCAAGCAGATTCTCCAGGAGACCCTTCCTGTCGAAAGCGCCACCTACGTGGGTGTTGCAACGTGTACCCCTTTAACAATACAAGAGAAAAGAACAATGGGTGGAAATCAACGACGATACTTTATTGGCCTGTCCCAACGACACTTTTAAGTGATTTGTGTACCATCGACACTTGAGAACTCGCAATGGCTTCTGTTTCAAACGCAAACATGCCACTGAACTTGCGGTCACTGAACGCACTTGCATAATTGCACCAAATGTTACTCCCAACGAATCTTTGCTCTGAATCCCTATTAAACTCTCCGCCCTCCCCGAAGTTGCGCAATGACAAATTGAACTGAAATTTTGTTAGTACATGGACATGTCCATTTTTGGTATCTACGCGAGCCTCCAGTACGGCCTGTCAGACCTATGGCCAGTTTATTTCTAATTTAATCATCTTTATTCAATATTCAACCAAAAATAAGTACAAAGCAATAAAGATGCGACATAGAACCCCGGTCCCGAGTGGACAATAAATAAAAGAAAGTACCCATGGCAGGGCGAAGACAAATGAGGCAGGTTTTTAAAAATTAGAGGAGCACAAACAATTAACACATTTAGAAATACATTCATTTCATTACAGCAGCATAATTCATAAACATTTTCTGGAATGAGTGGTGCCCAAATTAAACTGAAGGAAAGGGCAAAACATATTCATATAGAAATGTACAGACATTCACCTGTTTTCTAGATTGGTTCATTCCGCCTGTAAAAACCATGTGGGATCCCAACAGAGCTTTTCTAACAATCTGATCGCGAAAATCTTTAGATCTAACATCCAAATGGCACAATTAAGTTCATAATTTCTCTGCTTCTCTTTCCGTTGTCTGGAGTAATCAGTCTTCGAGAGCCAATTTCCATGCAGGGTTTGTTTAGAATCGAAGGCAAGATTCTCTCTCGTGATTTTTTTTTCAAAAAAGAAAAATGTGCCAAACCTTACAAAGACTTTACAGTTTAAACGATATTTATTTCTTGGGTCTCTTACCCTGGGGGACACTGAGCTTCCAACGACACCACCAACACGGTGATTAAACACGCCAGCAGAACAAACCGAGCCATCCCCCTTCTCTGCTGGAACACCTGGATTATGAGACAATTATGATTTTTTTATTTCTTTTTTTTATCTCTTCCTTCCATCTTTTCATTCAAGGTGATGCCTTCACGACATTCATTTAGTAACAAAATGTGTATTCGTTCGATTAGCTTGCTTAATATTCCTCAGTTTTTATTATTAAAACCTCCTAGTTAACCAACCAGACAGATTAGCAACTTGGTCAGTAAAATGGGTAAACCAAAGAACCTACCACGATAGCAAAACCTACTGACCAATTAGAGACCAGGGTGTAGCCGCAAGCAACGATACCCACGCGGCCGAAAGCGGCTGCGGGCGGTCGCCGTGTTCCGGCCTTTCGTGAAGGTGTGCTGTCCCGATAAGTCCATGGTACGATCACGTAGTTCAAGCAGAGAGATTTACAGTGAGGCATCTGTTTACATATGGCCAATCCTGGCTGCCTTCATGCAGTCCTACATCTCATGAGTTCTTAATGTTATGGGTTCTTGAACTCGGCCCAGTTAGGTAAATCGCTTCACTCTAGGATTAATTTCAATTTTGGGATCAACCTTCCCCTTATAAGGCGTCTAAACAGAATGATACCCGACGGAAACCTTGACCGATGTTTTGAAGACCATGTAAATGACTATTCTGGGGGCCAAAATCAGAGCTTTACGAACTTACGAGATTACATATAAAGCAGAACACTGTTATAACAAGGTCCTATAAGGACTTTACAAATCACCTTGTTATAATAGTTACCTTCTATTATCAGTAATGGAAAACCAAGCAAAACGAAGACTGGGGACCTAAACCTATCCTTGTTATAAACATGACCTTTATCAAAAGTGCCCTTCTTATCCGTGTTCGACTATAACAGTTTCTGGAAGCAGTTCAAACGCTGGTTGACGTGGCCTCAATTTGGTAAGAAATTGGTGAATCGGACCACCAATCGGACAATTCGGATGAAGAGCACGATACTGAGTTTTCTAAACAGGTTAGGTTTTCCCTTGATATCTACCGTGTACGAAGTTAGGGGAATATTTAAATTTCAGCTCCTGGCTAGCTGTTTTCAGCTGTCTCGTAAATTTACCCAGCAAAAAATGAGACCGAGGGGTACCCCCCCAACATGTCCAATCCCCATACACATTCCAGACTATTGTTACTTAACACATCCCCCAAGATGTCTGAAAGGAATTCCCCAGATTCCTGCGAGACAATGACTAACACAAAGCAGGGGGGTTCTCTCCGTCTCATACCTTGCTGCATACGTTCGTAAAACTGTGTGGCCGCTCACACCCCTAATGATGTTGCACAGCTCTAAGCCCGTAACTCACTTACCACAAGACCGATAAGACAAAAACCCGCGGAGCAGAGCGATGGAAATGAGGCAGTCCAATCGAGAAATACCCCACTTCCCATACAAAGGTTTTCCAAGTCCCACCATTAAAATACCATTTTAGGCCTCTTTTTATGGTTACGCGTGGTGTGCAAATAACGTTGTTGACATTATACTATTGAAGTTGTGTACAACAGCCATCGTTCCTGTCACACATTCTGGCACGGAGGGATAGCACAAAAGGTCTACTCACGTGCATCCCTGCGGAACAAAAGCTCTTACCAGAACAAAAAAATGGCTACCATGCACTAGCTCTAGAGAGTATGAAAAAACACCATTTTTAGGTCAAAGGTTCATGGTGAGTTAAATGATTATTGCGGTTCATGTTGGTTGTTTTTTACATGTAAGGACTTGAATCCAGATTACAAATAGCACACACATCACTTAAATCAATAAATAAACCACCAAAACACCTATTGTAACGTTGTCAAACATCATTATTTAGAAATAAAGTCACAAAAGACGGGTCACTAGATCCGCTAACAAAACCCAATATGCACTATCTTGTGGATTATATTTCATGATTTCACCATGAATATTCAACATTACCCCCCAAAATGACTTAATTCAAACTAGGTTCATTTAAAAAGTAAAAAGGTCATGGAAGAGGTCTTCCGACGACCTTAGAAAATGTGCCACATGTTCTATAGCATGCTACCCTCATCATCTCTGACAATAAAAGTACATACCGGTAGTGTTGACACGAAATAACACAATATAAACACAATACAAATATTAAACACAATATTTCATCCCAAATAACATGTTGAACAACGTTTAAATCCATCACAGATTTGGGTGCATGGCCACATGCCCCGTAGAAAGCAAGGCCTCTCGAGGGATGCCCAACTGTCTAGCACCAAATGGGTATTTCATCTTTCGATTTACAGTTGACATCTATTGATATTTGACATAATATTGGAGAGCCTGGCGTTCTGATCCAAACAGAATCTTTCTCGACGATACTTGATACCGCCTATGAGAAACAATCTACTGAGATCGAAGTACCAGGCCATCTATTACCTTTGGTAGGATTATTTGAGGTTTCTCTGATCAGCAAGCATGCAGTTTGCGGCAGTGTTTGTATTTTACATTTCTGAACAAACCATTGGCCTAAATTTCCCCGCCTCCCCATGCTCTCTTTGTTCTCTAAGGATACTCAACATTTATCCCAACTCGAAGGGCTTTCCATACTTTTCCTATCCTGAGACTTAATTCTGCGTGTCTGGGATCTACAATCCGCGGAATCTGGATCAACGCTGGATATGTACAAGGTTTGGTATATGTATGTTGCAGTGCATCGACAGATTAGGAAATATTCGCTAACTCTTTTGTAGTACAAGTACATATTTGAAATGTAGCACAAAAAAGTTGAAATGAATTCTGTTTCGGCAGTTCAAAAGTCCGTTCTAAACACGAGGTGAGAATAGTAACTAATTTGATGTCGTCTTTGGAGTGGTTAGACACTAATATTCAGCGCAAAAATTACTCCACGTGGTCAAGAAATCGATATTAGCGCAGTCATTCTGGAGTACTGACCACGCCGCGATTCTCTCAAAAGCGACTTTACGGCGGGGAAAAAAAAACGATGTCAGTTTTAAAGTACTTTCAACTGCGAGGAAGATGTTTGCTCCGACTTCCCGCACTCTTGACCTGTCTGGTCGGAAGTTGATGTCACTGTCTGTGCTCCAGATCTTACTGTGACCTAAGCCGAGAATGAATTCTGATGATGTGGGTCAGCTACATGTATTGACTCAGTAAAGCAAAGATTTGATATTGGAAGGCGCAATGGCCCCATTAAGTTAATTTCTCCAGATCAAAATCCCGATAGGTAAGCAGAGTTCAACAGAGTGAAGCCTCATTGATCCGAAAAACATTCCTGGTTCAATAGCCCAAACTTAACTTTTCACTTCCATAACCTTTTGTATTGCTTTTAAGGACCAATGAACTTTGTTTATCACTACTGAACCTCTGGAGCATTAAACCACAATCGACTTAGACGAATAACCTTTCGGACTCTTCAACCTTGGGACTTGTAAAGGTTGTGACTATTGAATTTGCAGACCACGGAAGCCTTGGATTGTCGAATCTCCCAGCTACTCAACCTTCACGTTGTTGAACATTTGGACGACTGAAACTTCGAACTATCGAGCAGTCAACCGTGCAGTTCTACAATTCATCAAGCCAACAGGTCTGTATGAGCGGAAAGCTTCCACTGTTTTATCCAACTGTCTGCATCCAGTCGCACTGGTTTTCCTGGTTGTGCATTGGTCAGGTGTTTAACGTGAGAGACACGAGGCCTATATGGGAAGTTTTGGGCTTGTTGTTCACTTATCTTGACGTACACAAACATGGGGGAGTTTGAAGCCAACCACCAGGAAAATGATCTCGGGAAAAATTAGGTCAACCTTCACATTCCTTGACATCAACACGCGATATTCTTGTAGATAATCGATATCGGTGCCCGCAGATTCCCTATTGAAGCGTCCTCTTCTGTTTGAGTCCATGAATTTTTCCCGTCAACTTTTAACTGAGACGGGACCAAAACAGAGGAAGCCATGCAAAGAGCTACTGTCACTCCTGCTTGAAGCAAATCAAACACAAATGCCGTCGTGTCCCTTGTTTATTCACTATTTTGTTTTTTTGTAGAGAACCAAGTCCTTTCATCAGGAACCGTCACCGTAAGTGAGCCAGTCGCAAAGCGGCACCCCTTCTCTGAAAATGGCCGTGATCGATGGCCAGAACCGTCATGATAGAAAAGGTTCTGAGTCCGGTCGGAATTCACTGTACCGTAAACTTGACCGCGTTTACAACTCGGGTGCATGTGCCTGACAACTCTGACATCAACGATTGGCTGCGTGCATGGAGGTTGAATTTCGGGCCCTGCTTAACTTTCTCAGTAAATAAGGGGGTATTACTGTCATTGCTAAGCAAAGCTGTTGACAACACTTTAAACAGAAAGGTGAAATGGTCATTTTGTATACTGTAATTTATTACTGTTATCAGATCAAAAAAATTGTGAATTCTAGGTTTTAATATCCATTTCGCATTATTAAGTTGTCAACTGTATAAACTACGTGTGTTGCCTTTGCAGACCAAGTACAAGCTTCGACTTCTTGTCTGACCTCTCGATCCATATTTTTGAACAGTGGTAACTGGTTCCATTCTGATGTAACTGATTTTTCAGACATTCTTTCGAAATGCGTACTTTTATGCGCGGTAGTGGCATACGCTTAAATTACTAATCTCATGATGGCACTTGACGGAGGTAATAATCACCACTCTGCAATCCAGAGGGGGAAAAAAAAGACCAGCGTGTTTGGGCACCAAGGTCACGTTCCTTTCGATAACCATCAAGTTTGAACTTTGGACAGGCAACCATTGTGTAACATAATCGTTGTGTCATTATTATTGGATTGGGAGAGCTTGAAATAAGTCGCTTTGACATACCAGTGTGACAGGTGTTAATTTATTTCTTTAGTGGACTAACCTTGGACTTGCTATACGGACATTGCCAGCACAGGTGCACCCGAAGAGTGTGAACTATTTTAGTCGGAGTTTTTGCTATAAGCCTGGTTGTCATGTTTTCTTTCTGCTCAACTTATGAAAGTACGCTTGTATTAGAACTGACTGCTTTCCGCAGGAAATAATACTACGTCAAAATAAATCGGATTCAAAATCTCAAAGAAGTCAGTTCAAAATACCTTCGCATAGAACAGTATAATTCTAACGCAACCTACACAATGAAACGTGTTCTACAAACAGAAACAACTGACCAATTTGTCCATATTGTTGAACAGGAAAGAAAAATCTTCCTCGTCTTTAAGAGGGATCGATCGAAGCAGTGAATTAGCTCCTTTTCAGCAAAAAATACATACTGTAAGTCTTGTTCAACCGTTTTGCCAAATTAGAAGCATGCCATCATTTCGGGAAAGGTTTACCGTTGTCCTTGAATGTTACAGTAGGTAACACTGGAGGCTAGATCGTGTGGCATTTGGTTTATTTGATTTTACTGAACTAAAATAATTACTTGGAAGCTAACATACTAAATCTTTAAGATGTTTTTCATGGACAAAGTTAATTAAAAAAAAGAAAGAAAATTTTAAGTTTCATTCCGAAAAGAACACTATTGAATCTCCACCATGCTTAAAAGTTTGACGTGAAGGCCTTTTCCAACATGGCCTATCTCGTTTAGCATTAAATCTACAGACACCGACTTCACACAAGTGACCACCAAATAACAAAGTTTCGAGAATTTCGTCGTCTTACCGTTCAAATGGTAATTTATCCTGGGTGGATTGTAATCCAGCGTCCCGTCAGTAGTGTGTTTGCAACGGACGTCTGATGGGAGTAACACTGCACTTGAGATTTCGTCGAAACCAGTGGAAGAGTTGAGCCTTGCAGGTCCAATAAACAGCCGCTTGCTTGTCCTCGTTCAATGGACACGACAGCCGCTGGAATATTTTTCTTTTACCACACAATCTCTGACGCCTTTTTTCTTGAGTGTTTTGATAAAGATCACAATGGAGTTTCTTTGCTGAGTGGGCTAACCTTTTCTTTTCAGGCATGTGTAAAATGGGGCTGAAGCCTTGGGCGACAAGCATTCATATTGTTGGTGCTCGTAAACGGGGTAAACTTGCATATTAGATTAAAGGGGAAGTGGGTGTAACAAGTTGAAATATAAATTTTTGAAATAAACTTCATAGCATTCTTTCGAAGCGTGCTCAAAAAAATCGCGTTGACCAGGGACTTTATCTAATAAAACCGCAGGTGAGTGAAACCGCCTCTAGCGGAAGCACCCCACCCTTGGTTGAAAAGAACCAGTTTGGACTGGAGTGGTACTTTGGTTGGTGGCAACGCGACTGTAGTAAGTGCATTGGTCATAGTCGTTCGTGGAGCAGCGAAGTTCAGTTCCTACCAAAAGCCCCCCCCCCTTGCTGAGAAAATTGCACCCTCTCTTGGTCCAGCTCGAGGCTCATTATCCATAGCTGTCAAGAATATGTCAGGTCGATCAAAAGGTTTGAGTATTCAGGATATTGCTAATGGAACAGTACAGTCACACATGTAGCAAACATCACTTCACTTACGTTTATAGTATGAAGTAGATTTCAATCAAGCAAACGTAGAGTAACAAACTCTTTCAGAAATCTCAGCAAAGATTGTTTATGGCTGTAATGACTTATTGTCACTTGTGTTTTCAACACTTTCAACGAGATCAATACACTTTGATGTCCTGCTTATAGAACTCGTTTCCAGAGCTACCCAGCTCTCTCCACGGGGACAATTATTTCAAACCAAGGAGCCACCCTGCTGTCCTTACAGGAACCCTTTTCGCTCCTCCTTGGAAGAAGGAATTAATGATAGTACAAAACATAAACCAAATCTCCAAAACGGGACTGCTGAATTTTGTATGAATATCTTATTCTAAAGTAAGTAAGGCACCATTTAAAAATTCTTATCGGGTAGGTGTCGGACAGAACACTCTGACCGATACATTTAGTATCTCTGGCTATCGGGTTAAGTGTTCTCAAGTGGCCAATTCTAACTGATAAATGCCCTTTTATTGCATTACTTCCAAGGCTGTGTGGTTTTAGTGGAGCAACATCCCCTCCATTATTCACTCAAAACAAGTCACTGTTATCGGTCGGATGGCCCTGTCCTATAGTCACCCGACAGGAATTTTGAAATGATGCCTAAATAAAAGTGTAAGACAATGTGTGACATATTTCCGTCAGGAATGTGCTGTTATTCAAGAGAAAAATATACTTCTTCCAACTATAGTCCGGTAAACGTCTGCAATGTTCAGACATCCAACCTTCTGTCTTTCCACCACAACAACTTTGTAGCCAATAACGAAAGTTAGGATGATTCACAAAGTGTTTATGATGTGCACTAAAGCTTACGGCTTGTGAACGCTTTTGAACAACGCGAATGTGGCATGAATGTGTGGTCACCCAAGCACGTCACCACGTCTCACATTTACTAGACTATAAACAGCTGTTTACTTGGCGAAGCCACATCATTTCATTATGAAAGGGGAAATTTAAAAAAAGTAGGCCTAAGGTTGAATGTGCCGACGTCTACTCGAAGCTATGAAAAAGTATGCATTTGGGGCCAATCTTTGATCGGAAGAACGAACAATGTACACTCGCTCCACCTTTTCGGGAGTTCGACGCACCAGACCTGAAAACTGCAGTCTGGTACAGCATCAGGTAATGGACATTTCAGTTGACTGAAAAGCGAACAGGGAAAACAATCAGACAAATCTAAGCAAATTATATAAACAAACAAACAAACAAACAAACACCCCAACACCCCAACAAACAAACAAACAAACAACCTGATAAAATAAAACCCCCAGTGAGGGCACAACAAGGAACATGGCTTCTCTTTAACTTGGTAAGTGCTCGCCAAGATAATCAGTTTGCCGAGCCAGCAGGGTTATAGTGTGTGTTCACGTTAGTCGTGAATGCCTTTTCATGAACACTGACTGGATCCCATTTCAACATACATCAGCTTACGGCCAGTAATTATGTCACGGACATTTCTTCCGCTCCATCAACGCGATTCAGACAAGACCTGCCTGGCCGATGTGGATGCACAACTTTTCACAGAAAAATTGTACGAACAAGGTTCCTTAACTGTAATTCTGCCCTTAGGAGTTCCAGCACAGAGGAACAATTGGGAAGGGGAACTGACCTTCAACATACATATTATGTATATTTACCGACCCAAAGACGTCTGCAGTCATACGGCTTCTCCCGTCTCGAGGGACGCTCATCCATTCATGGACAAGGCATGCGTAAAACGAAATTTTCAAGCGTCTATCAACATGACCTGTTAACAATTTGTCTCTAATACATGTATTGTATTTCAAGCATGGCCAATTTGTCTAGCAAGGTCGAAATGGTCAAGAAAAGGGTTCTGAGATATTTTTTGTTTAAATTATTTTTCATTTATTTCTGGTAATGACAGAAAGGATTCATCAAAGGCACCCTAGGCACTTTAGCTCGCAAGCATCCCGTAGAGAGGAGACAATGAGAAGCAGTTCCAGTTGAGAGGTGAAAGGAAAACCGCAGAGAAATATTCTGGGTAAAACCCATAGAATCAGGTTGGGACTGACAACCCGATGCACATGTGGACCGGGCCGGGATTCGAACCCGGGCCACAGAGGTGGAAGGCAAGGAAAGAAAGAGCCTTCAATTAATATATCCGCCACGGTTAACAGTCAGTGCACGCATTGTGCAAGTGGGATTACCATTAACAAAACGTAGTGTTTATCCCACGGACGTGTATAATAAAATCTGGACTCGCAATGCCCATAATCAGCTTATAGAGTCATTTTGAATCCACTCGCGGCCATTTTACCGAGCCGAATACAAAGCTTTCCTGGCAAAGCCCGCCTTTGTTCTTCCTGACGTCAATAGAAGGGAGCCAACCCACGCTTTTGTATTCGGCTCGGTAAAATGGCCGCTGGTTGGCTTCTTTTTCATACAAAGGCGTTGCAAGTCCAGTTTTTTATTTCCATCCGTGGTTTATCCCCCACTCCGAGAACTGCCGTATAAGCTGAGATCTGTAAGCAAATGCACCTGTCTTAAAGTTTCAAAATGCAAGCCATGGATACCCCCTTATCTCCATTGAACGTTTTGTGCAGTCGCTAGATCTCGTGACGGCTCTAAAGGAACGCAGTATTTGGTTTAAGACAAACCGCTCAGCCGCAGAGAACATATCACTCAACCCAGATCAGCAAGTCGATAGGATAGATACGAGAGTATGAAAGAAAAGAGACACCCACGGCTTGTATCACGACCCCCAAAGTACACCCCGCAATATTTCCCTCATCGCAAATACGCTCACGCGGGCAAACATTCACCGGTCACACCCCAGATCCACGCTTTTTGAACGGACATTGGATACAAAGCAGATTGGATTTCCCGTGACTTCACGGTGTGGCGAATATTCAACGAGTGAATATTCAATGTGAAGTTTAACCTTATGCAGGCAGCTTACCAAACACAGGTACTAAGATCTTGAAAAGCGCCACCTACTGCGAGATATGTCTGCTTCTAATATTTTTTTATGGCTATTTAGAAGATTTACTTATAGGCCTTGGTAAAAGCCAACAAAATTGCCCTCAAAAGTGCGTAGAGAGATCGTGGAGACAGACTTGTGTCAGACCACGGTCAGACGAGCAAAACAAGGTTCAAAACAAGAAAATATGAAACAATGGTGAAAACATTTTCCCAGCTATATATTACAAAACACGATAATTTCTGTGGTGGCATTTGCTGACGCATGGCTTGACGGGGAAAATAGACGTAAAAATGAAATAAATAAATGTCCTGTCGTAGATAGTTAATAATTTGCTCCAAACCGGTCCTCAGAAGTAAGTGTTAAACAATGTTTTATGCTACAGGAATAGAGTAAAACGCAATGCCCTCTCGTCTTGTGTTAATAGGAGCTCCTGAGTCACCACTGTGCAAGCATGGCATACATAGAGTGTCGACCTCCGCAAAAAGAAGTCCACACACCCTATCGGGTTACCAGACGTTGTGTAGACTCTGAAGTTCGCCCTGTGTTTTCCGCTTGCTGGAAAAAAAGTACAGCTTCAGAGGCGTTTTGGGGTAAGTCCCATTCACGGGAACACTTAAGAGGAACAGTCCAGTAAACCATTATCAAAAATACAGCTCGAAAGAGTTGTCATAGTGGGAGAACATGGAGCATGTTCCCTGATTGCTCAACCACACGAGGACAAAGAAATGTCCACACCACGTATGTGAAAAACAAGTGTGGGTGTTTCCGGCTGTGTAGTCACGTGGGTGCCCTGCATCCTGGCAGCGTGCCCAGATTGTAAGCGGCTCTGTTGTGTTCGCGATCATGAAAAAATGTTAAATATAGGGGACCCAAGCTGTGGAATTCCCTCCCTAGTCAACTGCAAGCTTCCGCCAATCTATCTATCTTTAAAAGATTATTTAAATCTACCACAAATGAAACCAACCATTAATCATGCCTGTGTTTATAACTTATATTATTTCCTGTGGTTTTGATAAGCCCACTGATCTGTAGTGGGTTTTTTGTTGTTTGTATTTATATATGTTAGGTGTATGGCTTACGTATACATGTTTATGTATTAGCCAGTTACGGTAATGTTTAATGTAATGGACTCATATTTGAAAGCTTTTCTTCCTGGTGGGCCCCCCTGCAGCAAATAAAAGTACTATCTACATGTATGTGTTACATGTAATTTGAATACGAATACTGTAGAAATAAGCACTGAACTACTAAAAATACTGCACCACTATGAGATACTCACTACTGCACTATTACACGGATAAGAATATGACAATAAAGAATCCAATTCTGAAGGATCCGCGCTTGAATTTCAAAATCATAAATGTGATCACACCAATCAAGTGTGCTGTTACTGTCAATATTCCTCGTTGGGGTAGGATTTAAATTTTTT